TAGTGACCCTGTATAGGATTTCCGACGAGCAGCTGGTGAGCTTGAACCACCAACCTTGTAGCTCAAACGGCTTTGCAGTCTGGCGCATTAACCCGCAGCGAATCACCAGGACTCCAAATCCTTTTATATCTTGATTGAATTCTGGGTGGTGTTGTCATGAATGGTCATCTCAGGTCGTTGTCTGCTGTTGTTGGTTCTCAGTCCAAAGAACACCCTTTAGCATTTTTTTCAAAGTTGGTCTTGTCATTACAAAGTCCGTTAATTTCTGTTTATCAGGAACTGTCCCAGTTTGTATCTGAGGGACAGCTTTGCTGGGTCTATGAGTCCTGGGTGGCAACCTCTGTCTTTCAGGGTTTTGTCTTTGTCATTCTATTGCCTTCTTGCCTGCATGGTTGTATTTTTTGTGTGTTTTTTTTTGGGTAAAGAGAAGCTGTTTGTGGTGGCAGCATATGTCTTTGGTGGCTTCAGGTGATTTACTTCTGGGACATTACTTCCATAACTTTTTCTATAAGAAAGCAGCGATTTCAGGAGCATACTTTAGTAGTATTTTGTTTCATGCAAAGACAGTTAAATCTAAAAATCATTTTTTATGTTTAGGGTTCGGAGACCATCTTGATAATTTCAGTTTGGAAGATGGGCTGCAAGAAACATCCTCAGTAAAACGTGAGTAGTAAATCCCAGAAAACTCTATTAAAAGCAAACTGCAGCAGTTAATATGCACCACCTACTCAGAATGCATGCTTGATGAAAACAATAGATGGCATTTACTTGATCAGATAAAATCTGGTTATCTTGTACATGACCACCAATACTGTTGATAAGATGCCTGCTCTACCAGACCTGCATCCAAACCAGATTTGACTGGTCTCAATATGTTTTCGGTCATTTGCCTTTTCTTCTTTGATGATGTCCTTTCCCTGGGTTTCTGTTGGGTCGCTTATGGGGGGAGGGGTGGGGCCAGTGGGACCTCTTCATTTATTCGTCTCAAGAAAGGCAAAGTGTCTGGTGCTAGACTGCCTGGGTTTGGACCCTGCCTTTGCCACCTGACTTCTTTGTGCCTCAGTTGCCTCATCTGTTGCATGTTCTATATGTTGCTCAAGATCACATGTTTAAAAGAAGGCAGAACTGAGATTTGGCCCTCCGGCTCCAGTGGCGGACTGCAATGAGCTGCTCTGTGTGTGTAGAGCTTTATCTAGTTACTTGGTACAAGGCCAGGGCTCGGGAAGCACTGGTCATTCTTGTCATTGTCTTTATCAGGAGGACAAACTGTGGCTGGGTCTCTACTTACAGTGATCAACAGACACAGAGAAATTCCTGTCAGAATCCCCGCAGAAATGGACAAACAGATCCTTAAATCATATGGAAATGTCAAGGGATCCAGAGTAGCCAAAACGCTCTGAAAAAGAACAGTTTGCGGACTCACAGGTCCCAATTTCAAATAATCAAGAGAGTGTGGTGTTGGTATAGGGATAAACACGTAGACCAGTGTGATACACTTGAAGGTCCACAAATAAATCCACACACCGTTGGTCCATTCAGAAGTCTCGTCAACAAATGGTACTGGGGCAGCTGAATTTTGACATCCACAAACCTAACCCAAACTGGATTATAGACTCAAAATCATAAGACTTTTAGAAGTCAATTTTTGTGTATGGTGTGAGGTGACAGCTTAGGACATTCCCAGGTCTTTGTGAAACATAGGCATAACCCTATACATGTAGGTAAGGAGCTCTGCTAGCGTAGTGGTTATGAATTGGGCTGCTAACCTCAAGGTCAGTAGTTCAAAACTACCAGGCATTCCGCAGGAGAAAGATGAGGCTTTCTGCCCCCGTAAAGATTTACAGCCTTGGAAACCCTGCACAGGGCACAGGCTCGCAATGAGTCGCAACCAACTCCACGGTACTTGACCACCACTTATATGTAGTTGTACTCCTTTGTGCAGCTGTAGGATCAGTACTGGACTGCAAACCTCAAGTTCAACAGTTCAAACCCACTAGCTGCTCCTTGGAAACCCTATATAGTATCACTGACTCAGAACCAACTCAACAGCACTTAAAAAACTTAACATACATGTTGTTGTTGTTAAGTAGTGTGGAGTCGGTTCTGACTCATAGCGACCCTGTCTGTACAGGATTTCCAAAGCTGTTAATACTTTATGGGAGCGAAAGCCTCATCTTTCTCCTGTGGAACAGCTGGTAGTTTTGAATTGCTGACCTTGACATTTGCAGTCTGATTCGTAACCACTATGCTACCAGAGTAGGTGGCCCTTTAAATTCCCTGAAATAAGGGAAATTCATGTGTGTAGTTCTTTTTTTCTTGTCACGCCTTTGGTTTTGATATCGGTAAAATTGGCTTCATAGAATAAGTAAAGAAGAGTTGCCCTCTAGTTTAGCTTTTGGAAGAATTTGAGAAGGATTGGCATTAATTCTTCTCTAAATGGTCATTAGAATTCTCTAGTGAAACAACTCATGTTGTTGTTGTTAAGTGCCGTCTACTCGGTTCCCACTCACAGCGACTTTGTATAGGCTTTCCAAGGAGCAGCTAGTGAGTTTGAACCACTGACCTAGTGGTTCAAATCGACCTTGAGATTGAGTACTTACCTTGTGGAATAAGTACCAGGACTCCCGAAACTATCCATCGTCATTGGCATGTCATGGACTACTAATTTATCTCTATCTGTTATAGTTATATTCAGATTTTTCTCGTTCTTTTCCAGTCTGTTTTGGCAGTTTCTGCGTTTATAGGAATTTGTTCACTTTAGCTAGGTTATCTGAGGAACCCTGAAGGCATACAGGGTCCCACGGGAGAAAGATGAGGCTTTCTGCTTTCATAAAGATTTACAGCCTTGGAAAACCCTGTACAGAACCGACTCCACCACACATAGTAGCAACAGCAGCATCTAGATTATCTTATTTGTTGGCGTATACTTGTTCATGAAGGAGCTCTGGTAGCATAGTGGTTACAAGTCAGGCTGCTAATCTCAAGGTCAGCAGTTCAAAACTACCAGCTGTTCTGCAGGAGAAAGATGAGGCTTTCTGTTCCCATAACGATGTCCAGCCCTGGAAGCCCTGTACAGGGTCATTATTAGTCAGAACCAACCCCACAGCGCATAACCACCACCGCCACTTGTTCATGGTACTTCCTTTGCATGAATCCTGTCTATTAAAAGGATCTGCACGAGGCTGGTCTCTATGAGTGGACATTAAAGATATCCCAAATGTCCGACTTTTCCAACATGTAATGTTGTTGTTGTTAGGTTCCATCGTGACGGTACCGACTCATAGGAACCTTATGCACAACAGAACGAAACAATGACCAGTCCTGTGCCAACCTCACAATCGTTAAACTTGAGTCCATTGCTCCTGCCACTGTGCCAGTCCATCTTGTTGGGGTCTTACTCTTTTTCACTGAACCTCCAGTTTACCAAGCATAATTAATGTCCTTCTCCAGGACTGACACCCCCTCCCCCCCCCAGCAATAATACGTCTGAAGTATGAGAGATGAAGTTTGGCCATCCTGGCTTCTAAGGAGCATTCGGGCTGTACTTCTTCCAACACAGATTTGCTTTCTTCTGGCAGCCCATGGCACTTTCAATATTCTCCTCCAACACCATCACTCAAATGCCTCAATTCTTCAACGGTCTTCCTTAGTCACTGTCCAGCTTTCATGTGCATAGGAGGCTACTGAACAGACTATCATGGCTTGGGTCAGTCAGGTGCACCTTAGTCCTCAACCGGACTTCGCTGAAGGAGAGGAAGACCCCCAATGAGATGGATCAGTACTGTGGCAACAGCAGTGGGCTCAATTGTAACAATAATTGTGAGGTTAGCGCAGGACCAGGCAGTGTTTCATTCTGTTGTGCATAAAGTTGCTATGTGTCGGAACGGACTCAGCGGCACTTAACAACAAGAAGGACAACAAAATCATAGTGTACTGGTATCAATAGATTCCTCTCCTTTTAAATATAATTGTCTTAAATAGATCTCTGTACGCAGAGCTTCAGCCATCAAATGTGATTTGAGACAGTTGTGCAAAGAAGGACCATGTATTATCCTCATCCTTATTTTTACCTGTCTCAGTATTCTTCCTTCCTTTGTGAAGTTTCAAATGTCCTTCTGTCATTTCCTTTCTGTTTAATTATGAATGAATTTCTTCGCCGTTTCCCAAGGGTGCGTTGGCTAGGGACAGTTCAAACCTATCAGGTGCTTCATGAGAGAAGGATGTAGCAGTGTTCCCTCTCCTTGCCTTTTTGTTGTTGTTGTTTTAATTTGCCAAAAATACAGAGCCCCAAACATTCCCCAGCACATACTGCACACTTACAATTCAGCTAGTAGTCTTTAGATCGGCAGTTTGAACCCACCAGTCTCTCTATGAAAGAAAGACGGGACCGTCTACTTCCATAAGCTTCACAGCATTGGGAACGGTGTGGGGCAGCTGTATCCTGCCCTCTAGGGATGCTGTGACGTAGGACCTGCTCGGCAGCACTGGGTTTGGTTTAATTTGGAATGACTGATGACATTGAGCAGCTTTTCATGTACTGACTGATTTGTACACTCTTTGCAGAAGATCCGGACAGACATTTCTTTGATCGACAGACGGACCCAAGGACTAATCCAAAAAAGACAGGTAATGCATTGTAATTGGCCCTGGTCGGTTTGAGGATCCCCTTGTTATTGAATGCTTGTGCCCCCATCTTTGCCTTTCTTCACCTTTGAATTTTCTTTCTCTCTACTACCTCTAATAGTATCAATAGTCATAGCACCGTCCTAATGCTCACGAGACTCAACTACTGGAGAATTCGTGCACGCGCTCTAGTGGCGATGAAAGAAGCCCATCTTTGAAAGGAATCTGGTTGTGTACAAAGACCTAATATTTACAGGAGTAACCAGAGTTTTAGAAAATATTCCGTGTTGGGTTGACTGTAACCCCATCAGTTTATAACATACTCCCCTACTTTGCCAGGAACCTCAGACCATCCCTAGGCAGTGTTAACTACGGTTAGGGCACCAGGTGGGTAATGTCGGAAACCAGGCTTAGGGCTCTCCCTGGTCATGTGGTCATCTCCCAGCAGACATGCCCTCATGATCCCCAGGCTACATGCTGGGCCACCTCGATCTTACCACCCCCATCTCCTAAAGTACAGTGAGACAAGCCCTCGGCTCTATCTCTCTGGTCTTCCTACTCAGAGTGTTGCAGCAGCCCTGAAGGAACAAGCCATATGTACTCCACAGATGATGCTCACTTCCCTAAGCCACAAACTGGATGCAAGTTCTGTTACTGAATGTGCTCCCCTTGCCGTTCCTCCCCTTTAGATAGATGGGATCCTTTCATCACCACCACAACCAAGAGGCCAGCAGCGACCCGCGCTCCAGCTAATTTTCCAGGTAGCGTGGCTGGCTGTCCTGAGGAGGGAAGTGAGGGAGAACCAGGAGCAACTTTGGGGGAAGTGTCCAATGAGCTATGCCCAGTTGAATTAATGATTTGTTTTCATGTGTTGGGGTCCAATGAAGATGACTTTAACCTGGCTGATGCCTTGGATGATCGTAATGACCGCGATGATGGCCGCCGGAAGCCAGGTGCAAGAGACGAAGGTAAATCCTAGCTTCTGAAAACCACTGGTCAGAACTGCAACTCCTGGTGGTATTCTGTTTCGTCAGCACAGTGGTCCAAAGAGCCACCCCTGACCTGGCAGAGCTGGGGCATTCAACGCCCATAGAATCCTAAGATAGTGGTTCTCAAGCATTTGGCCTCAGCACTCCTGTATAGTCTTGAAAATAATTGAAGGGCTCAAAGAGGTTATAGTTTTATTTTTAATTCTGGGTCATATGTATCTGTTGATAGCTATACTATTAGAACTTAAACCAGAAAATCTCTAAATGTTTCTTAATCCATCTTAATTTAACAAGAAATCCCTACATTTCTTTGTTTTGTATTGTTATGTGCCATCAAGACGGTTCCAACCCATAGTGACCCTATGCACAACAGAATGGAACGCCACGTGGTCCTGCGCCAGCCTCACAATTGCGGCTACATTGGAACCCTTTGTTGCTGCCACTGTGCCAAGCCATCCTTGCATGCTAATTTAGATAGCATATTGTTATGAGAAATTAACTGTGTTTGGCAGGATAAGACAAGAGTTAATGAGAATGATTTTTTTGCAAATTTCTGTTATGTGTGCCATAATGGAAGAGCTGGATTCTCACATTGGCTTCTGTGTTCTGTCTGTTGTGAGATGTTGTTATGGTTCAACTACAGGGAGCAAATCTGACCTCACAGATCTATGCAGTTAGACAGGGAAGGCTATCCGATGAGACTTTTCAGATCATTGTGGGCGTTCTTCTTAAATAAGATACCAAAACTCAACAGTGGTTGTGGCTTACAGGTTAAGCATGGTGTAGAAACTGAGACCTGATTCCATTCTCGCTTCCACTGAACCCATTGGACTCTCTTGTCCTTTGAATAGACCTTTCACCCATTCTCAACTTTGTTGTTGTTGTTGTTGTTGTTAAGGTTTTTATTGTGGATTGAGTGAAAGTATACAGGGCGGATCATCAGTTTTACATTCAACAAATCATACTCCTTGTTTCATTACAATGATTAAAATCCCCTCCATGTACCATCGGTATTTCTCTCTATTCACTTTAGCTTTTAAAAAAAAAAAA